TAATACTATAAAACATGTTCATAAATCCATAGACAAATTGGAGTAGGGGAAACAAAAAAATGAGGAAGACATTTTGAGTACAAGTGAACTGGCCTATTTAAAGAAACCACAATTAGAAGATGAAAGTGAAACCTCAGCAACAGTACATAAAATTCCCCATATTTGAGCGTTCTTTGTGTGACGTTCCAAAATTGACAAATGCTGTCAAACTTGAACCTCAAAGCTCACAGAGTGTGATGATTAGAATGGAAGGCAAGATATGCTTCATCACATGATCACAGTGATAGGTCACCGTAGAATTTTCAAATGAATACATGCCACATTATGGGGTCCAACTGCTGCTATTTTGACATGGGTAAAAGGGTTGCTTAGAGTACATGTTGCGTTTCAAACCTGAATCCCAGACCCACAGTGTTATTCTCTGTGTATGAAATAAATGTTAAATCAGGAAAAAAGACCTCTCAAATATATTTGATAGTGAACATTTCAGAGTGAAGAGAGAAAAAGGTAACATGTTGAGAATAAAAGGAGTTCCATGCTTGAGTTGAAATGCCCTCCCCACCCATTTCTGCTGTTTCTGAATCACTGGACATTTCTAGATTAAATAATTTAAAATTTGTTCCAGATTTAGTTTAAAAAGCATTATTATAAATTTAGTTTAAAAAGTAATTATATAAAACGGTCTTTTATCACTTATGTATTTTACCTACATTTTCTCTCTATGCAACTAAGTTTATGTACTTGTTTCTGAATCTCTTTGAAGTTATTGAGAGATTCTCTATTCATGTATACATAAAAGGCTGGCTATTCACTGAGACATTAAGAAAAATGAAGCACTATTTGTTCACCAGCCAGATATTTGAAAACATATAATTAATATTTTTTTAAATGGAGACTTCTGATAACCCTAAATTCCAGGATTAAATATGTGTTGTGGCACATCAGTCAGCCTGATCAGACACATTCTTATGATCTGGTCATGAGAATTAGGAAAGGGAAGGGAATTGACAAGCCCTTTAAGCATGCAACAATAAAAATTCTAAAATAAACATGAGAGAGTTGTCATGTCTAAAACAAAGTAGATACCCTTTTAGATATGAAATAGTTCAGTACAAATTTGTATCACCGCTGATTCATTACAAGTTTCTAGAACTATTTTATCAAATGGGTCATCGATTAGATATAAAAATTGCATTAATGTAGATGTTACCATTTTTTCAGGGATTATTTAATTGACGGGGTAGTTGACAGGGTTTGGGAAGGAACATGTAATATTTCCTCACTCTGAGTATAGAATTTTAATGGTTAATAGCTAGATTAAAAAATATTTGTGTGTGTAAGGCACCATCATAAACATATATATATACATGTCCTGTGACTCAGGAATTTCATCACTACCTGTCTCATATGAAATTTAAGATTTAGTGGTGAAACGGAAGAAAAACTAGAAAACAGAGTCACATCTCTGCATGCTCAATTAGAGGAGAAAATAAAAAAGATTTGGGAACATAAAGAAAATAGAACCATATGACTAAAGGAACAGCATTCAAAGAGCAGATCAGACTTTCATTTGGTTGAGCAAAATACTTTCCTTCCTGCTACCATCTGAGTGTCTACAGTGAATGAAGAGTAAATGAATAAATGTAAGCAAAGCCCTTAAAAAGCTTCCTCACTGTGTCAGTGCTGTATGATTGTTTAGTTAATAAATCTGGAAAGATGTGCAGAAACTTAACCATTGTTACTTCCAAAGGCAGAACCTGATAGGCTGCGGAAGAGGGAAAGAAGGAAACCTAGATTTCAATGTATGTTATTTTGTACCTTGTGAATGTCCTACAAGTGTTATTCTTGGTGCTTTTCCTGTGAATTTTTTTTTAAAGAAAGAACCACCACCACCACAAAATAATGCACAAAACAACCAGTTAATTTTATTCATGGTTCACAGGGCTAGGAAGAAACAGAAAAGATGGGTTATTGCTGCTTATTGGTGTTTGGTGACTGCAGAGAAGACTCATTGGCTGGAGTTGAATCCACAGCAAAGGGTTGGCATCATCTGGAGGTGACTTCACTCACATGTCTGCAGAGGACATGGGGCTTTGGCTGCAGGGCCTATAGGAGACCTTCCAGGTACCCTGGGCTTCCAGGTAGCAGAGCAGTCTCAGGACATTAAGAGCTTTGACTTGGTGGTCAAGGGCACACAGGTGAGTGACCTGAGTGAACCAGGCAGATGCTTATGGCCTTTTTAAACATAACTTTGGAAGTTACACAGCATCACTTTCATGTCATGTGTCAGTGACAAGTGAGCACTAGTGTCCAGTCTGGTAAGGTAGGCATAGACCTCAAAATCTCAAGGGGAGAATAGCAAAAAATTTGGAAACATCTTTAAAAAGCCACATGCATATTCTAGTTTAAAACAACTCAGGTTTTATCTCTCCTGGGCTTCCCACCACAGCTCTGGGGTGATCTTAGGGCTTGTGTTTCCTCCCCAACTTGGAGGCAGAGGAGAAAGGGACCTTGGTAGTGGTTGTGGCCAACGGTCTTTTGCTTATGTCCTAGGAGATCCACCCAAGAGAGATGCAGGTCAGCAATCGCCCAATCTCACTTATAAGTGGGAGCTAAATGATGAGAACTCATGGACACAAAGGGGAACAGCAGACACTGGGCCTACATGAGGGTAGGGTGGGAGGAGGGAGAGGATCAGAAAAAATAACTGTTGGGTACTAGGCTTAGTACCTGGGTGATGAAATAATCTGTACAGCAAACCCCTGTGATATGAGTTTA